TCTTTATAAAGTCTGTTAACCTCCTTCATAATTTCACTTATAGACCAGGGTTTGTTAAAGCCAGAGCCATTGCACTTGTCTATATTTTCATATATTTTTATTGCTTTATTCTATTTAACATAATTATTGTAGATTCCTTTCTTCATGACTCCAATCTAAAAATATGCAGGACTTTTTTGGTCTTGTCTATATTTGTCTTTCCCCCCATTACTTTCCCTTACTTTTTTTCTTGTACACCTGAGATTTTCTTCTTCTCATTCTTCTTTTTTAAGACTTTACTTTTAAGTAATCTTGACTTCCAACATAGGGCTTGAACTCACAACACCGAGATCAAGAGTTGCATGCTCCACTGACTGGGACAGCAGGGCACCACTCAGATCTTCTAAAAGGGAGACACTGGCATTGATGTTGTGTTTTTGTTTTTAAATGTTTTATTTATTTTTGAGAGAGAGAGAGAGAGAGAGCGTGAGCAGGGGAGGGTCAGAGAGAGAGGGAGACACAGAATCCAAAACAGGCTCCAGGCTCTGAGCTGGGTGTCAGCACAGAGCCCAACGCGGAGCTCGAACCCACGAACCGTGAGATCATGACCTGAGCCGAAGTCGGACGCTTAACTGACTGAGCCACTCAGGCGCCCCTGATGTTGTTTTATATAGAGATGGTGACTATTCCCTTCCTTAGGCAAATAGAATTGGGACACATCACATTTTTCCCATTCAGTAATTGGATGCACTCTGTTGCCGGTTTGATTGGAGTGAATCTGATCTTCATGCCTTCAGGTTCATCCTTCTAAAATCACTGCAGAGGTGTTCCTGCTATTGGTAGTAATCTCCTCAAACCATGGTATTATATTACACCACCTCTCTTGCCAGTCTCCACCTAATAGACTATATTAGGAGCCCTGTTTTGGGGGACTCTTGCTGATTTCAAGCTGCCATGTCAGTCTATGTGCCCACCAGCTTGTTTTTAGTCCCTCATGATGTCTTTCTCCCTGAGATTGTCGGTGTCCATACTAAGCAATTTCTTTAGGTGTAGAAATGTCTGGTGATCTCCCCTCCCCTAATGACGGCTTTTATCCAGGTGGAATCTCAGTTCAGGTAGTCCTTTATGGTCCCACAACTCTTTAAACTTCAACAAATACAACTTTTAAGTTAATATTTAATTTCTACTGTTATCCCACCTCTACTCACCACACATTACCTGGTAGCAAAAGCCCCAATATTTTGTGTGCACAAAAGTCCAATTTATTTCTACTAGCCCAGAAAGGCTCCATATTTTTTCTGGGACTTCGTTCTCTGCCCCCCTGCTAATTTTCAGTTGCCTCACTAGAAAACCCAGTGTGGATGTGGCAATCATCTCACAGGATTTCCTGAGTCTCATGGATTGTACCTCAAAAACTCCTATTCAAACAGGTTACATGACAATGTCTTCAAAGGTCTGTATATTTTAACCAGGTTTTGATGTTGCCTTTTACGGGTCAGACCAATAAAATCTACTCGGTCATGGCAGAAACTGAACTTCTTTTACTTCAAATATCTTATCTTTTACTATTTAAAAAATGTTTAATTTTGAGAGACAGAGAATGAGTGGGGGAGGGCCAGAGAGAGAGGGAGACACAGAATTCGAAGCAGGCTCCATACTGACAGCTCAGAGCCTGATGTGGGGATTGAATTCACAAACTGTGGGATCATGACCTGAGCCGAAGTTGGACGCTTAACCAACTGAGCCACCCAGGCACCCCAAACTTTTTATTGTTTTTTTTAGGTTTTTAAACGTTTATTCATTTTTGAGAGACAGAACACAAGTAGGGGCGGGGCAGGAAGAGAGGGAGACACAGAATCTGAAGCAGGCTTCTGGCTCCCAGCTGTCAGCACAGAGCCCGACTTGGGGATTAAACTAATGAACTGTGAGACCATGACCTGAGCCAAAGTTGGACACTTACCCGCCTGAGCCACCCAGATGCCTCAAATATTTTATTTCTTAAAGTTCATTTGTTTTTGAGGGGGAGTGAGACAGATTCCAAAGCAGATTCCAGGCTCCAAAGTGTCAGTGCAGAGCCCAACATGGGGATCAAACCCACTATGAGATCATGACCTGAGCCAGAGTCGGACACTTAACCAACTGAGCCACTCAGGCACCCCTACTCCAAATATTTTAGCGCAAAGAATGCTTCAGTATTTAATTTAAAAATTTTTTAATTTTTTTTTTGTGGGGGGTGGAGGGGCAGAGAGAGATGGAAACACAGAATCTGAAGCAGGCTCCAGGCTCTGAGCTGTCAGTACAGAGCCTGATGTGGGGCTTGAACTCAGGCACCACGAGATCATGACCTGAGCTGAAGTCAGATGCTTAACCGAGTGAGCCACCCAGACACTCCAATGCTTCCGTATCTATATGTACAAAACATTTATATCCAAATTTTAAGAGCAATGAGTCTTTTTTTTTTTTTACAAATAGTTTATTGTCAAATTAGTTTCCACATAACACTCAGTGCTCATCCCCACAAGTGTCCTCCTCCATGCCCATCCCTCCTCCCCCCCACATCCATCAGTCCTCAGTTTTTGTCAGCATTCAAGAGTCTCTCATGGTTTGCCTCTCTCCCTTTCCCCCACCATTTCCGCCCTTCTTCTCCCCCTTGTTCCTCCGTCAAGTTCCTCTTAATCCTCCTATACGTGCAAACATATGGTATTTGTCTTTCTCTGCCTGACTTATTTCGCTCAGCATAACACCCTCAAGGTCCATCCATGTTGCTACACATGGCCAGATTTCTTTGTTTCTCATTGCCATGTAGTATTCCATGGTATAGATAAACCATATCTTCTTGATCCATTCTTCTGTTGATGGACACTTAGGTTCTTTCCATGTTTTAGCTATTGTTGAGAGTGCTGCTATGAACATTGTGGTACATGTGCTCCTATGCACCAGCATTTCTGTATCCCTTGGGTCAATTCCTAGCAGTGCTATTGCTGGGTCATCGGGGAGTTCTCTTGTTAGTTTCCTGAGGAACCTCCACACTGTTTTCCAGAGGGGCTGTACCAGTTTACATTCCCACTAACAGTGTAGGAGGGTGCCCATTTCTCCACATCCTCGCCAGCATCTAGAGTTCTCTGATTAAGGGCAATGAGTCTTCTGAGGACAAATCCTAAGCTGACAGTTTGGACTCCTATTGAATCCTTTATGTATTCTTACCTGACCTTGGTTAAATGTTCTGTATTTTTTGACGTGTGTGTGTGTGTGTGTGTGTGTGTGTGTGTGGTTGATAGGTTTGTATCAAACACTTAGCATGCAGATCCTTAGGCTCCACCTGCCTCTTACAAGATATACCAAGAATGACCAGTGCCAGGCTCTGATGGGCATCAGCACACATTCTATCTCTGTGCTTTTGAGCCTCTCCTCTCTAAGCCCTGGGTTTTCATGTTGATGCCAACATGTGAAATGCCTCATCACCAAAACACACATGGACAACCAGAGTACCTTTATGTGAGGACTATATGGGTATGTTACCAATTCTGTGTGGCCAAAAAGTATATAGTCATATGATCTGTATACAGTTGTGTTTCTCTGCGTCATCTGACTGTAAAGGTATTGGCCACTATTGAGTCTGCTCAGAGTGTGGTCAGGGTGAAAGGTCTACATGTGACTATCACAACATGTATGTTATCAAATGGTGTGTGTCAAGGGCGTTATGTTCACCATGGGATCAGCCTGTTTCAGAGGGTGCAGGAGGTGAAAACGAGCACATAAATGTCCACCTGGCAACAGTTCAAACCCCGGAGCACCAGTGAAGCCACTATAGGCCCACAGGGCACTGGGGAGCCTGGGAGAAGGGAAACTAGCATCATGGCATCAGGCCTGTGAGACTTGCTGGGCCCGTGGCAAGACAAGGCCAGATTCTGACCAGAGGGAAACCAGAATCCAGGGTCTGAGTGGTTCAGAGAACCAGTGATGAGGGCTTTGAATGGCAGACTTAAGTTTGGACACAATGTTGGAGCAGTCATCAAACTATGTAATGGAGGGGCACCTGTGTGGCTCAGTCCGTTGAGCAACTGACTCTTGATTTTGACTCAGGTCATGGTCTCACACAGTTCATGAGTTCGAGCCCACTACTGGGTGCTGCACGGACAGCATGGAGCTACTTGGATTCTCTCCCCCTCTCTCTGTCCCTCCCCTGCTCATGTCCTCTCTCTCTTCCCTCTCAAAAACAAATAAATATTAAAATATTTTTGAAACAACTATTTTTCTTCAATAGTTTGGTGGTCAATGATGTCACCTTCTGAGGCAGTGGCAGAGTGAGCATATTCACTCTGGAGCTGCGGATGGGATCTTCAAGACTGGGAGAGCCAGAAAAGGTAAGACTTCCTTCCAAAGTCAGCTCTCCCAGATCTCACTCTGTAGTGCCTGGCCAAGGAAAAGAAACATTTCTTGTCCCTTCTGCCAACCTGAAAACAAGAGCTGCAACAAGAAGCAGGTGAGTGTTTACTTAGGATTAAAGAATTGCAGTTTGGGGATACCAATTCCAGCAGTAACCAGAAAAGTGTCCCATCTGTGGGGTGAAAGCAGGGGGTTTTTCGAATAGGAAGAGAGATAATTACATGTCTTGGATAAGGAAAAATTACCCACTGGTACTAACTATGACCAATTCTGGAGAATGTCACAACACTGTGAAGAGTGTTATTCTGCTGCTTTTGGATGAAGTGTGTGGTGTACCTCTGTGAAGGCCATCTCATCTAATGTGTCACTGATGGTTGATGTTTTCTGATTTTGTCTGAATGATTCATTCATTGATGGAAGTGTGTATTTACATCCCCCTTCTTTTGCATACCTGTCTCTCCCTTTACATCTGTTCAAATTTGTTTTATATATATAGATGCTCCTATGTTGAGCGCATAAATATTTACATATGTTATATCCTCTTATTGAGTGGACTCCCTTATGGTTATGTAATACCCTCCATTGTCTCAATATTGGCATTTTAAAATAAATTTATACAGAATTCAGTCACAAACTATCTATGTAACAATCTTTAATTCATCATTACAACCTACATACATGGTTAACAATATGTAGTAATGACGCATCATGTGTTGTTTTTCATTTTAATATTTAAAGATACTTTCTAGTTGAGTCCAACCATCATATTTACTACTGCTGCATGAAAAATAGGTCCTGACCAACATCATGGACTTTTTAGCAACACCTTTGCTTCATATGCAGTTCCAAGAAATACTCCAATTGAAAACAAGTCATTGTTACAAAATTCTGAATTTAGAATTCCCAGATGATGTCAGTCCTACGTACTTTTCTTACATTTTTATAATAATAGGTTGTCAGGTAAAATTACAAATTAATGTCTAAACTGTATTAAGACCTTCTTGATAAATGTTTTTCCTAGTTAGGGATTTCTAATGCAAAGTCTAACCTTTCATCTGAATTTAGCAATGGTATATATACAGTGTGAGAAACTACATATTGACTAAGGAATTAAAAATCAATGAAGACTTCCATTCATTCACTATATATAGAGTGTGAAACTTCACATGCCTACAATAATGTTTCTACTAGTCAAGTTTTTTTTCATGCATATAACAATGATTAAGTTCTCCAGCATTAATTTTTCAGTTTTTCTCCTGGAGTGATCTCCTTCTGTAAAGATTTTCCTGTGTAATTTCCCATATATGGGAGATTAGATTATTATTCATACTTGATTTTCTTGTGCACCCCATGATCAGAGACCAGCTAATGTCTCTTCCTCCTTGAATATAAATATAGGGTTCCTCCAAATGCAGTTCACTCGTGTTGTGTAAGAGTAAATTAAAAATAAATGCATGTCCATAATGCATATGGCCATAGAACTTCCCCCACATGAGTCTTCTGGTTGATTTTAGATTAGAGCTGTGGCTGAAGGCACTTCCGTGTTCATTCACTATAATTAAAGTGAGTTCCCTCATGGTCTCTAAGATCAGATCTTGTAACAAAGGCTTTTCCACACAGATGACATGGATATGGTTCCTCTCCAGTGTGAGTAACCTCATGGTCTCTAAGATCAGATCTTGTAACAAAGGTTTTTCCACATAGATGACATATATATTGTTCCTCTCCAGTGTGAGTTCCCTCATGGTCTCTAAGATCAGATCTTGTAACAAAGGCTTTTCCACATAAATGACATATATATTGTTCCTCTCCAGTGTGAGTTCCCTCATGGTCTCTAAGATCAGAGCTTGTAACAAAGGCTTTTCCACAAAGATGACATATGTATTGTTCCTCTCCAGTGTGAGTTCCCTCATGGTCTCTGAGATCAGAGCTTGTAACAAAGGCTTTTCCACAGAGAGGACATATATATTGTTCCTCTCCAGTGTGAGTTCCCTCATGGTCTCTGAGATCAGAGTTTGTAACAAAGGCTTTTCCACAGAGGTGACATATATATTGTTCCTCTCCAGTGTGAGCTCTCTCATGTTTTCGAAGACAAGAGCTTTGAACAAAGGCTTTTCCACATAGATGACATGTATATGGTTTCTCTCCAGTGTGAGTTCTCTCATGGTCTCTCAGATTAGAGCTTTGAATAAAGGCTTTTCCACATAGATGACATGCATATGGTCTCTCTCCAGTGTGAGTTCTCTCATGTTTTCGAAGACAAGAACTTGTAACAAAGGCTCTTCCACATATAGGACATTTATATGGTTTCTCTCCAGTATGAATTCTTTCATGGTCTCTAAGACAAGAGCTCTGAACAAAGGCTTTTCCACATAGATGACATTTATATGGTTTCTCTCCACTGTGAGTTCTCTCATGTTCTCGAAGATTAGAGCTTGTAACAAAAGCTTTTCCACACTGATGACACGTATATGGTTTCTCTCCAGTGTGTGTTCTCTCATGTTCTCGAAGATTAGACCTTGTCACGAAGCCTTTTCCACATAGATGACATTTATATGGTTTCTCTCCAGTGTGAGTTCTCTCATGTCGTTTAATGGAACTTCGAACAAAGTTTTTCCCACACAGACGACATTCATAAGGCTTCTCTCCTGTATGAATTCGCTTATGTCTAGTTAAAGATGAAAAATACCTGAAGCGCCTCCCACACTGAGTACAAGCAAATGGATTCTCTCCTGTGTGACTTATTTTATGGGTATGAAGGTTGGCATTTCGGGTGAAATGTTTTCCACATTCATTACATTTATAAGGTTTCCGTACAGTGTGAGTTAAGACATGTTGAGTCAATGTGTAGGTGTGAGTGAAGATGTCATCATATCCACTATATAAAGACAGGTCTTCTCCTGCGTGACATTTCTGCTGTTGTGAAAGAGATGAGAGACTGTTATAGGACTTCTTTAAAAAATGCATGCATCCAGTTTTCTACCTATGAATTCCAGGCTGACCATTCAGAGATAATCTCCAACTAAAACCTCCCAAGATCACTTACATGCACATGCAGTGTTCATCTCCAGCATGCACAAAGATTTTTACCCTTGGTAGCATCTTTATTGGAGGGCTGAGTGTTTTTTAAGATATCATTGAGTCATGCCAATAAACCATGGTTATGCAATTCTCTATCAGAACAATTACAGCTTAAATCCAGGCTTATTTCTTCCTCAGATTTAAATTTTCAGTCACATTCTGTGGGAAGATACTTATAGCAATCTATAAAACTTGTTATATGATTCTCCTCAATCGAGAACTTAGGCTTTTCCTAGGCCATGAACATGGATAGGCAAAGTTTGTCCTCATGAAACTTACTACTGTCCAGCAGTTAGGGGGGTCCTTCGTGCAGATATCTTGCATAGATATTATTTCTTGCTTGTTATGGCTGTTTTTCATGCCTAAAATAATTGAAAAAAAGAAATAAACCAAAGAAACACCTTTAGTAGAGTAGGGGGATTAAAGTGTTGAAAAACGTACAAAACCAGGTAAGCACATATGACCAAATAATGCGAAATTGAGGAAAATACTGGTGAATAGAGATACATCTTAGAATAGTATGATTAGAACAAAATTCTGTTTAAGTTAAAGGAAAATAATATAACGAAGGGCTGTTGCAGAGAATATCAGAGTGGAAATCCTTAAAGAGACCAGAAATCATGACAAAGACCACAATGTGAAATTTGACCTCCAATAAGGACAGGAACAAAGCTTGCCTGAGATGAAATGTAAGTATAGGTACATGAAGAGAAATTGATGCCGGACAAATAATGACATAATTTAAGGAATGTTGTCTCAATGGCCACTCACAGTTTCTGAAGCTGTCGTTCACTCTAGGAAATCTGCACTGACATTAATAAGACCCTGCTTACTCACTAGCCTTCTCACACTGAGCGCATGTCTGCAGCTCACCTGGACTCCAACCTTGGGGAGGTCCTCTTTCTTCCCTCCACAGCTCCCCTCTTTGCTCCCACTGGGAGATCACATATGATCTGAAGAAATGACACCCTATATCAATGAAGAATGGTATGTGAATTTGCAATTTCTTGCTGAGAACAGCGCCTGATATTCTACTGTACAGGCTCCTGAGGAAGAACATCGTGAGCGTTGAAGTACAGCCCAGAGAATAACACCTTGAACACTAAAAATATGGATAAATGTTCTTAGGCTAACACTGCACCCAAATACACTAAGATCTCTGATTGTTGATGTTTCTACCCAAGCTGAGAGAGTGCAGAAGGCTTAGTGTTTGCATCCAGAAGGAAATAAATGTCCTCACAAGGGGTGAACATTATTTTCAAAGGAATACAATGAACATAAGTTCCGTCAGTATATTCTGTGGAGATTTATGTGGAAAGTGATACAAGATGTTATATTTTCTACTGTGCTCATGCTTCACCAAACTGCCCAGGACAGAAAATACTTAGATATTTATGTAGTCATTCAAAAAACATTCACTGTATTCCCAGCATTGTTCTAGGTCCTGGAAGATACACACCTGTGGCCAAGAAGACTATATTCAAATTATCATGTAACGCACATGATGAAAGTAAAGAAAGTTACAAGTTCCGTCTAGTAGTTGGAAATGCTAAAAAAGAATGAGTTAGGGCAGACAGCTGTATTAGAAAATGTGGAAGCTTTCCTGGATACAAGATTAATAATAAAAAGATGGATGGATGGATGGATGGAAGGATGGACGAATAGATGGCGACAGACTCACCCACAGAGACCAGATGACTAATGTTCTCCAGCGTCACATCTCTGTACAGTGTTCTCTGAGATGTGTCCATTAGGGCCCACTCTTCCTGGGTAAAGTCTACAGCTACATCTTTGAAGGTCACAGATTCCTACAATATCAAATATTGTCTCAGTAGGGCCAGGCTGAACAATCCCTAGGGCATAGCTGTCAATAAGATAGTGATAGCAGAGGGGAGAGCTGTATGTATAGAAAGCTCAAAACACTATTCGTGGTTCATATCAAATCTCATCTTGCGCTGATCTGCTTTCTGCCTTTCAGATGCGTTAAAAAAGAAATACACAATTATTCATTCAATGAGACTCATCATAAAGTACTCTCAATATGAAATAACCTGTCAACTTTCTAATAATCTGGTAATTTTGACTCCCTGGTTGGTGATTATATCCTAGGTTAAATAGTACTATTGAAAAGCACTGGCAGGCTCAGTTGGAAGACAGTATGATTCTTAGCCCCATGTTTGCTGTAGAAATTACTAAAAACATAAATAAATAAATAAATAAAGAGAGGGAGACAGAGATATCCAATGAGCTATGCGCAGATGCTTCTTTTACAGCAAACACTTGATATGTACAAGTGATAGGTATGTTAATACCAAAGATAGAGAACTATGAAGCAATGCCCAGCAGTCTGTAGTATGAACAACTTTTATGCAGAACTTGGGGTCACAAAGTGGCACCTCTCATCTAAAAACTCACTTGTTCTTTATAAGATATCATGGCAGACAGGTCCTGCGGTCCGGTTAGGGGCTCCTGAGATGGCTCGTCCGAAGGATGGCCCCACAGTGATCTCTCCTGCAGTGAGTTCTCCATTCTTAAAACCAAGGATCACTGCATCAATACTCTGTATGTCAGTCCTGTTTTTCTGTACAAAGGCAATAGAATACACTTCATTAGTTGTAGCCTCTCTTTGTCTTGTCAACATTGCAAGATTCTAAGTTGTATGCTAATTTCTATATATTTTCTGTGAAATGCAGAGTTAATTTTTCAATACCCCACAAGGCATTGTTTTCGGATTTCCAATTTTAATAAAGTTTAATTACAGAGAAGGGAAAGTGGGTAAAATGGGAAAGGATAGTAAAGAGGATTTAGTCATCTTTGGAAGTTTCTATAGTCAACTGTGTTTCCAAACCTTTATAGTAAGCTTAAAACTGAGGGGAAAATAAACGATTACTGATTCTTCTCATATACAAATGTTTCTTGTGTTCTCTGGGAAACTGTAGAGCTGATTGGCTGGAACTCCTGCCTCTTCAGTGGACTGTAAATTGCTGGTCCTGCTCATCTCTAGCACCTGGGACCACGTGCTAGGCCCACTGCACCCACTACTAAGGTCCATGGGTAAGTAATTTCCCAACCAAGTCCACTCTGGTTGGGAAAACCAGATAAGGAAAGAAAACTCTGCACATTTCTTTCCTGCAAGGACTTTTTTTTTTTTAATTTTTTTTTAAATGTTTAATTTTTTTTTTTTTTTAATTTTTTTTTTTTTTTTTATTTCTAGGAGAGAGAGAGAGACAGCGTGAGCAGGGAAAGGTCAGAGAGAGAGGGAGATACAGACTCTGAAATAGGCTCCAGGCTCTGAGCTGGCAGTCAGCACAGAGCCCGACGCGGGGCTCGAACCCAGAAACCGCGAGATCATGACCTAAGCGAAAGTCGGACGCTCAACCGACTAAGCCACCCAGGCACCCCTAAATGTTTTATTTATTTCTGAGAGAG